TGCCTGTGACGTAAGCTGGGCGCCGACATTTTTAAATCCCTGCTAGTTCGAACCCCGGGCCGCGCGGCTACACGCGGCCCGGAGTAGCTAGTTCGGATTAGGCTTCTAATCCGAACTAGCTGTACTCCTCATTCCACGAGGAGTACAGCTAGTTCGGATTAGGAAGCCTAATCCGAACTAGCTACTCCGTGCCGCGTGTAGCCGCGCAGCACGGGGTTCGAACTGCCGGCATTTAAAAATGGCGCCGGCCGGCTTTATGCAAATGAAGCCCGGGAAATTCAAATCCCGGGCTTCATTTGCAATTGCGGTATGCCTACATTACCCTCCTATTTCGAATTAGGAGGGTAGTGTAGACATACCCACAGAGAGAGAGGCAGAAGGCAGGGGACAGCTGAGAGAGAGAGGGAGAGGCAGTAGGAGAGGAGGAGAGAGAGAGAAAGACACACGGAATAAGAGACAGGAGGTTCAGGAGAGAAGACCGACATGAAGGAGAGACCTGAAAATCCTGTCTTATGACGGGCTAATTGGCTAGTTATATTAGACTTGGTTGTCTAGCTGATAGCCACCGACCGGGAAATCTAAAGAGATTGTGTGGCTTATTGTTATCCAGAGTGGTACTATTAAAGCTATTTTATTACTGGCTTGGTGAATCTAATTATAGAATAAACCATCAGTTTTGGGGATTATCTGCCTATTTCTTGCAGTCTGCCCTGACTGTGGCATCCTTGGTGTGACACATCCAGGCACAGGAAGGAGAAGGCTACATTAAATTTTAGCACCTATGAATTTTAAAAGAACTGATCTGAAACAAAAATTAATGAACAGATGCAAGACTGTAAAACTATTAAACAGATATAAGACAGTAAATCTACTACACTTACTTCAGCACTAACTGTGTCAATGTATGATAAATTTTATTTTCCCAAAATGCATAATATGACACTAGTTTTACAGCTTTGCCAGTGTTTGTGTTGGCAACCAGCCCTTCCATTTTTGTTAGCAGAGGTCCAATGGCAGCATACTTTCTAACAATGTGTTCCACGTCTTTAGATCTTTCGCGCTTAATATACTCAAAAAATTCCTTCACTCCTGAAAAAGTTTATGAAATCAAATTGTTATTTATTGCTATTTAGCAATTATAGTAACAGATTAACAAAATAATATGTTGGGATTTATCTGTAAATAGTAAATTCATCTCACAATATAGAATTTCTTCATGATTAATACCTCAGACTTCTTATTGTTTACAGATTCCAGAAACCCAAACTTAACTAAAACAGTGATTTTTATATATGTCAGTAACATTTTTAATGATCAGAGAAATTCTGAAACAGCTAAACTCCACTAGTTCATGCTAGTGCCCAGAAGACCTGCTATGATTCACACATTCAGGGCCGGCTCGAGCCATTCCTGCACCCCGGGCAGCAGGCGCACGACGCATGCGCGGCTCTGCCCCGGGCACACAGCACATGCGTGGCCTTGCCCTCTGGCGCACCTTACAGCTGCCATCGGGCGCGCGGCACCTGATGGCAGCTCTAAGGGGCACCGCGCAGCCATAGATTGGTGCCCCGGGCAGCTTCCCGGCTAGCCCCCCCCTTAATCCAGCCCTGAATACATTTCACAAATGAGTAAGTAGCAACTCCAGCTCCATCCTCCTTGACTGCAGTCTCCCTGACAGAATTTGTGCAGTACAGCTGCAAAAGAGGGCAAAGGAGACAGCAGCCCCCACACAGCAGCACATAATGGAGATGGGGAAAGGCAAGGAAATTGATGGCCAGATGCAAGATATAGATTAAAAGAACTGCTGCTATGCAGATCTTCATGCCTCACCACCACCAGGGGAATATTGAAGCTAGACTTGTACTACCTTCAGTATACACCATGAAGCTGTACTATAATTAGCCCTGGAAAGTATTTAATATTGTGTTCTCTTGATAACAATAAAAGAAATGTAACAAAGACACCGCTTCAGTAAAGGTACATCTTCACAGAGATCAATGTTCCGTCATCCGATTTAGCAGGTCTAGTATAAAACCATAAATTAAACGCTGAGGGCAGCTCCAGCCGGTGCCTCTACTCCTCGAATAAGGGAAACCAATAGGAGCATTTGCTCCCATCAGCCTCTCACTGTGTGGACATTGCCAAGCTTGGCTTAAGATAAGCCAATTCCAGAGTTATGTAGTCTACATAGATGAAATTGTGTACCTTAAGCCAACCTTCTCAGTCTAGTATAGATTTGACCTAAGACACAAAGAAAAGAGAATACAAAACTCAGGACCTACCAGGAAGTTCATCTTCATTTTTCAAAGGTGGGGATTTAAATAGATTTGTTGACTCTATTAATAAAAGCTTGTTGCTTATGTCTTCGGCATTCTTATGAATCTGATGCACAAGTGATTCAAACTTTCCAATGGCTTGGGTGCATCGAATAATATAGTCACCAATACCTTGAAAAGAACAGGTGTCCATTTTATTCTCTTTCTTCAACACATCTTTCACCCTCACTAATTAGCCATCATAAGCTTCTAATAGAGCAACATAGGTAGAGCAATACCCATTCCTTCTGAGACCAAAAGATCACTGAATTAACATGTCATGTATAAGGGATTCAATTCCATATTTGTTCGGGAAGACTAGCATATATTTGTTTAATGAGCACTGGGTAAGGCTGAGAAACTACACAATATTTTCCATAAGGTAAGTGTCTGTATTTCTAAACCTATGCTGTGCAGAACTCAATTTATGACATCCTTGATCTTGAGCTATAGTCACTTCAGCTCAGCATTTTAGATATAAGAAACTAGTATAGGCTGACTTGAGAAAGAAAAATGTATAGCCTGTGAGTTGTTTTACTGAAAATTGGTATCTAAACGACATCTATATTACCTAAGGAGTTCCAGTTGAGTCTCTTATACCCTGATCTAAATACTCTCCAAAGCTCTTGAATGTGGTCATCGAGAAGCTGGATTTCTGCCTCATTTAGTGTTTCCATTAATTTGTGATAGTGCTCCAGCATCTGTTTCATTCCATCTGTGTATCTAAAGAGACCCACAAGCATAATGCAAAACATTACAATAAGGATATTGCTTAGAACATCTGAAGGCCTAATTTTGAACCCAGACATCCAGGGTGACACTTGAAGTTTTCCCAAGGTTAATAATTCAATCACCTAGCCAAAGACTACTGGTACATTTCCCTGCTACTCACTTCTAATTTTTTCTTTGTTGAGCCCACTCCCATGCCTGGAATTCCATGGCAGGCATGGTAATCCTGCTTGGGTTTAAATCATTCTATCTCTCTCAACTCCTGGTTTAACTCTCCCACTCAGAGAAAGAAGGCAAGGAACCTATATCTAATTCAAATTTCAACACTCTATTTTGATTGGTGGCCCCCTGATCGACACCTTTGCCAGGTACCTAAATAAACCCCTTAGTCACCGGGAGCTGGTCAGCACTCCCTCTGTTTATGACAAACATGTTCAGCTGGAAGCACAAGGATGAAATCAACAGGTGTCAGGGGCTTTTGAGAATTCCAGTGGGCACCTATCTGCATCATTAGAGCCTTAATATCTTTAAAAATCTGCCATCACTGAATTGTCCAAGGTCACTCAGGAAATTGGTGAAGAAAAGTCAGGCATTAAAACTAAGTCTCTTGATGCTCTGTTTATGACAAACATGTTCAGCTGGAAGCACAAGGATGAAATCAACAGGTGTCAGGGGCTTTTGAGAATTCCAGTGGGCACCTATCTGCATCATTAGAGCCTTAATATCTTTAAAAATCTGCCATCACTGAATTGTCCAAGGTCACTCAGGAAATTGGTGAAGAAAAGTCAGGCATTAAAACTAAGTCTCTTGATGGCTAAGGAATATTATAATGCAGTGGTCCCCAACGTTTAGAGGCTCTCGGGCACCCGGGGGCGGGGCCACTCACACGCCGGGCGCCCGGGGGGGATGGGGCCACTCATGCGCCGGGCGCCCGGGAGCGGGCCACGCATTCTGGGGCACGCCAGGAGCGGGGATGCCCTTGCACCCGGCACTG